GATGTTGGTGGCTTCGTGCCGATGCAGCACATCCTGGGCCTCCTTGAGGCGGGCCTGGGCATCTGCGTCAGCTGCGGCCTGAAGCCGCTGTTTTTTGGCTTCTACCTCTCCTTCAGCCTATAGGCGGGCAGCCTTGGCTGCCGCCTGGCACCATACCTCAGCCTCGATCAGTGCGAACTGATCTACAAACCGCTGTCGGTACTCGTCAATGGACTCGTTGGCCAATTGGCCTGGCATGCCCAAAGTTGAAACCGCCATGGTGGCGGGGCACTGTTGACGATGGTACTGCTGCTGTCGTGGCACTGCTGACGTGGCTCTATTGCTGATATGGCACTGCTACTGACGTGGCACTTACCAAACTGGGAATGCAGACAAAGGGCTGGGTGGGAGGGAAACTGCACTTTCCATTCCCGGTCCTAATCAACAGAATAAAATAAAAAATAAAAGAAGAGGATCACCCCCCTTTTTTTTTTTTGTATATCTGTCGATCTGTTATCAATGCGGCATTTCAAAGGAGTACTATGAGCGAGATCTAGGCAAAGTTTCGCAAAGTTTCGACTTTCAAAAAAATGCGATCTTGAAAAAAAAAATTGCACGAAATAGACTGGAGGTTCCACTTTCAGAGAAGAATAGATCTAGTCTGAGAGTATGACAACCTCCCTAGTTCACCTGATATGCCAGAGTGAAACAGAAAACGAAATGCTAATATCCGAAGTTGCGAAAAAGAGAAAAAAATAATAATAAAAATGAAGCGATTTGATGAAGCCCTACTTGAAACCAATCAATCAATCAATCAATCAATCAATCAATCAATCATTCAACAGTCAATCGATCAAGCAAGCTGGCTTCTGGATTGGGCAGATCCTCTGATTGAGAGTTCCGCTCCGATACCGAACTGTTGCATACCGTAACAGTACAGACCAGAACAAGAACCGACCTCTCTCACATAGTACAAGATAGCGCAGCGGAAGGCTAATATACCAATGATTGACCAATCAATGTCGCAATGCAGACCAAATATACATCATCATCATCACAAGGTGTGAAGGGCCTGGCAGGTGGCGATGCTGCGTACCCCCTATGTAGACCAAACATACATCATCATCATCACACAATGTAGCGGTGCAGATGCTTGCATCTGTGGCGAAGTACACGGGGACGGAGTCAATGCACCGGTTGATGGACTTCTGCGTGTGACCCTCAGCCAACGTGACTTGTGTGGGCTGCGACTTCCTCCGAACGCGTGGCCCAAGGCCAGCTCGTACCATGAAGTCTTGGTTGATATAGTTGCGAGCAGCTCCGCAATCGATCAAAGCGCTGCAGGTCGCCTCTCCAATCCGAATGCGTATGTACAACAATGGCGCGTCGATGTCGTCGTATCGTTGTGTCTTGAATTCGCGGTAGATCTTCGCAACGTAGTCGTGAAGGTCAACAACCTCTACTCCGGCGTCCATCAACGGAGTTGGTACTGCAGTGTGCAAGTAATCTGCAATTGTGCCCTAAGCACGTTGCAATGTGGTTTCGGCAATTGACCGGTCGAAGGAAGGGGCATCCATTGGAAGTCCGCGAACGTCAACGGGTCGAGTTCTTCAAGTCCTGAGCATGACGTCGAATCCCCGACGATAGTTGGAGGTGAAGCTGCCGAATCGGTTGTCAATGGTGGGGAAACCGTGCATGCAGTGGATTGTTGCACGTGGAGTGGTTGGTCCAACGGTGGGACCAAGTGGACTACGTAATCCTCGTAAGTGAATCGAGGACTCGCGACATCCGCATTCTCCCCAGATGTGTAGGAGGCCGCTAGCAAGGCGGCCAAATCTGGCGGAGTGAGAGGTGGAGTTGCCTCACCTCTCGTGCAACTCAGTTTCCCGAGCTGATTAGAGGTCGAACATGCTCCTTGCCTTGATCCTGGCATTGGGAGGTCTTGTGCTTGGAGCTGTTGAACCAATAGCAGCAGCCATACCGGCTGCGCCACTTGTATTCGGCCTCGGTCAAGTTAAACTTGACCCATGGTACAAGCTGTCCGTTTCTAACCGACGATAAGGTTTTCGCCCTCCCTTTTCCACGGGAGTTGTTGGTGCTTCGCGGCTGGAGAACGGCCCCCTGATCTCCCTCACGTGATGCTGGGGTGGCTGCCGGGTCTTCCACAATGCTGTCTGGTTGGACTGCGGCGACGGGCTGCGGACGTGGACCAAATTTTCCCTTCTCCACATAGGCTGGCTGCCACGCTGACCATAGGTGATCTCAACGGATACCTAATCTTTTCACAATTTAAAATTCGTCATTTATTGATTAATTTTATTGATTAATTTTATTGATTATTATTATGAGATTATTTCTTCGTTATTAATCATTAATTAAATTTTATTGATTATTAATTCGTTATTATTTCTTATTACGAATTTTTAAGTTGTTTTTGGGGAAAGTTCATCTTTTTCTTTGATTAGGTGTCTAAGTCCATAATTGGGATAGGGACTGTATACGAATTGCCCTGTGCCCACCCTCTCCCTCTTACTGTTATGCGACCATTCGGACCGGCCAGCCTTCAGCAGCAGTTTCTTGATGCCATCAGGGCAAGCCACCGAACAGCAGCCACGACGCAGCAGACGGATCGTAGATCTCCAACAGCAACCTGCAGTTCGACAACAGCCACAAACGAGCACACAGATGGCGACCACGCCTAACAGCGGAACATCCTCTGAGACTTCGACATCTAGTAATGCCGAACCCTTGCCGGTTTGTCCTGTTCAAGGGCCGAACGAGTCCATCTCGGACTACATTCAGAGAGTGAAGACCTATACGGACTCACTAACCCTTGCCAAGGAACGGCAAGATTCTACCGAAGCAGAAAAACAGAGGCTAGCAGCAGAAGCTGCAGCCTAAGCCCAGCGACAAGCTGCGGCGGAGCAGTTGGCGACCGACAAGCTCAACGCCGACAGTGCCAAACTTCTTATCTTTCAACAAGATCAGTGGGCAGCTGTACTCAACGGGATGTGTTATGTCCCCGTAGCAGGCGCCGAGCCGACGACACTACAGCAGGAGAGACAAAACCTGGCAGACATTCTACTAAGCACAATGCACGCAGTTATCTGGAACAGCACCATGGGGGACCTTCATTCCAGGTCTACACGGCAGCTGCAGCACGATCTTAACCATAACGTGAAGCCGCCGGCAGCAGCCATCAAGATCACGGACTCCCAGCTGCAACAGATGGACACCCGCATTGCTGCTCTGGAGGCAAGGCCTTCCCAAGCAGCGCCAGGCTGCACGACAGACACGGCGAAACAGCTCGGCGAGCGCATCGACCATGTCGTCAATCTAATCGACGAACTAGGTGATTTCACTAGTCCGGCCACAATCAGCAGCACGGTGGCCGCCATCCAGACGTACATCACCAAATTGCAGACACAACCGGACGCCGCTACAAAGACATACAAGATTCCGCACTTCAACATCAGCAAGTTTGATGACTACAACAAGATAGACGCCTTGACATGGTGGCAAAGTTTCCTCGCGGAAGCATCCTGCCGCATTGTCCCGGCTGAAGACATGATGAAGGCGCTCTACTACCTCCAACTGATTGGAGGAGCACAGGCATGGATAAACCATCTTGCGGCCGGCAAGAAATGCACCATCGCCAAACTCCACACGCACATTCCGTGGAAGGAGTTCGAGCAACTGTGGTTCACTCGATTCATGGTCCGCAATGTCGTGAAGGCGGCCATGAACGAGGTCTACACCAGCTCACAAGGAAGCATGCCAACTCGAGACTGGACGATCAAGTGGCAGAAGATAGTAACCACTCCAGGCTTCGACTTGAGTTTTCCAAATAATCCGAATTCGTTTCGCGATCGTGCGCAGGACTGCGGTCGGCACTCGGCAACGAGTACGACTATGCCTCATTTCAGGCTATTCTGGATCGTGCGAACGTGGTTATCCAAACGGATGACAAGGCCGCTAACGAACGGCAGTCCCAGCCGCACTATGTGGCTAAGCAGGGCTATCAATAACCGACACATAACAATGCCGTGATTTTTGATGAATCAGTCGATCTCCACGCTGCAGCAGCATCCTCGAGTGATGGAGGAACTGTCGCAGCGCTCCCGCCGAAGCGTCCCAAGAGAGTTCGGAAGAACAAGGCGACAAAAGCGACGACATCGACGGGAACTGGGCTGTACACCGTCGGCAAGTGATCCGGTCAGCTCGCCACTGATTTTCGAGGACTCGACGACATGGTCAAGACTTGAGGAGCTTGACCCGCTCACGAGAGAGGACTTCCCTTGGATGCCTCTACCCTCAACCGGAACCTTGCCAAGGCCGCATTGCAACGCCTTGATGGCAAATCTACGCTCCTATTTGCACACTGCAATACCATCTCCGTTGACGGACGACGGAGTGGCGGTTGTCGATCTCCGCTCCTATCTTGCGAAGATTGACTGCGAGTATGCCACCCAAAGGTACGTCGAGACCGACGCGCCTTTGCTCTATATCCACATTCAAATCGGAAAGGCAACTTGCAGTGCCTTGATTGATTGTGGAGCATCTTGCAATTTCATGAGTCAAGCCTTTATGGCCCGCGCAGGCCTTGGCCCGCGCGTTCGAAGGAAGACGCAACCTACGCAAGTTACACTCGCGGATGGCCGCACGCAAAAGTCAATCGACCGATGCGTTGACGACGTCCCAGTATACTTTGCGCCCCTTGCGTGCGAGCCGGTGTCTTTTGACATCCTCGATACCAAGTTTGACATGATTTTAGGCGTGTCTTGGTTGCGTAGCGCCGATCATCCGGTGAACTTTCATGAGTGAACCGTTCACGTCCGTGATCGGAACGGAGTGTTAGTCCCATGTACGGTCACGACCCCTCATACTTCGATTGCTTGTCACGTTGTCGGGCGACCGAAGGCCAGTCGGGAGATTGACCCTTAAAAAAATTGTCCGAGAGAGAATTGACCAAATTATGGATCGGAAGGAGACCCCTAATATTCTCCATGTCAGGTACTGAAACCAACCCTTGGAATCAGCAAAAGGGACGGCCGCGCCTGCTGCCTCTAGTGCTTATAGTTTTCGCTCAATCCGAGTCTACTTCCGAAACAATTGGCTGCGGAACGAAAATTTGAGAATAGGCCTTGGCGTGACCCCTTTGAGCTGGCCAACTGGCGTGGGGATGAAGTTTCGAAAAACATTAATTTTAATAATAATAAAAAAAAAAAAGTTAAAAACAAAAGAAAAAAAGAGAAAAACGGGAAATTCTTTGTTTTATTAAAATTTCTTAGCATATAATTTTAATGAAATAACTCTTATTATTTGTTATTTCCGGCAATGGAATTAAAAATGAGGAAAAGAATCAGAAATACTTGAAGAGGAAGGAAACAAAGGAATTTTTGTTATTTTATTGAAATCCATCAGAGTCCCTTTTTGATGAAATTACTTTTGTTTTTATTATTTTCGATAAAGAATTAAGAAGAGGAGAAAAACAATTGAAGATGATAAAAGAAAAGAAAACCAAGGATATTAGATGTCGGAATAAATTTTATTCGGATTATTCGCAATGGATTTTTAGTCCCGGATTACTTATTTATCCTAATTCTAACGATTTTCTCCAATTCCCGATAATCGAGATCGGTTTGCGTGATTTACCTGACTTCCCTGATTCCTGGCCTGGCCCCAACTTGTGTGTTGTGAGTGCGGGGTAGATGGACTGCGAGGGGTTACCGCCATGTTACTTGATTGTGCCGCACGGCTCCATTGCGTCGGTGTGGCCGCTGTTCCGGTTCGGGCGTCTGGTTCGAGAGAGGTTCAAAATTATCACGCTATGGCGGCACGGTTCGGCGCCGACATGGTATAGCATCCTGGTTCTAGTTCTCAAGTTCGGTATTATCCCAGAGCTGCGGCATTGTGCGGTACACACTTCAAGTTCGTTGTTGGTTCGACGTCGGTACGGTACGGGTCCGGCATCGAGATGGTACAACAACAGGTACTAGTTACTCTGGCTCGGTACGGGCTCGGTACGGGTACGACTTATTTCAGGCTCGGATCGGCTCGGCCCTTGACGCACTCCAGGTTCGGTATTGGTCAGGCATCAACATGGTACGGGCCACAACAGTTCAAGACGGTTGTCTTAGGTTTGGTTTTGGTTCGGCATTGATAATGGGAGGGACTACGGTATTTCAAAATGATTATCTCAGGGTTGGCATTGGTACAGTGTGGGTCACGACGACATGGCTGATAGGGTATGGCAACGCTGGTCGTCGGCGGTATGATTCTGTACGGGCTACTTCAGTTTCCTGTTAAGACGACCGAAATGACCACTAGTTCGGTTCGGCATCGACAAGGTACTGCAAGGTGGTACTTATTCCCAGGTTCGGAACTAGCACGGCGCGGTGGCACTGTACTATTTCTCTTTGTTCCTGGAACGGTCTGTGGTACGGTTACTGGTCTGGGACTGAGACGGCTCGCTATTGTTCAATTATCATTAATTTTGGGGCTGCAGGTTTCCGACTAGGGTGGCTCATTGATGCTCAACGACACTACTCCAAGGTACATAATTGGTCTGGGCCAAGGGCCAAATGCAGACTGCATGGTCTGCGAAAGTGCCAGTCCTCGAACCACAAGCGCTGGGCAGGGACCGCCGGGCCCTTATTTTCGATGTTGTTGAACGGAATCGCAGGTCGGCAATATTATGAGGCTGTGGGTCTAGTACCACGGGGGTCTAGCACCACGGGTATAGACAGTACCAACCTCCAATAGCGAGCTAGTACCGCTGAGGGCCAGAGGCGAGCTCGTGGGAGCTGCGTTCCAGACAGGGAAAAGGAAAGACCACGAGGGGCTGGGGGGCAGTACCCGAAAGTGCGCCAGGTGTCCGCCGCCCCCATCAGCCTGGTTGACTTTGTGGCCTGTCAGCTGAGCTCGAGGCGATGAGCGAGCGACCGAGTGGTGACAACGTAGTGCGGGGACAGTCGAGGGAAAGTGGGGGGAGAATTTTCGGCGTTCGGGTGTGCAAGGCGTGCCCAGTGCGAAGGTGACACGACTCTTTTCCGTGCGCCAGGCGTTCGCAGCGCCTGCGCAGTTGACCGACGAGCGATTCGAAGGGCGGATGGCGAGAGAATAGAGTGCTCTGGTGAGCGCACGGAAGGGGGGGGATAAGGAGTGTGCCAGGGGGAGCGTGCCAGGCGTCCGCAACGTGGGAAGTGTACGCGCGGAAGGCCCGGTTGAAACAGGCAAGGGGGAGCAGAGTCCAGGAGGTGCCAGGTGTATGCCGCCCAAACTCTGAGCTCTTTCGGCCTTGTTGTGCTGTACCCATTGGAGAGACTCTAAGGTGAGGGGAGAGAGCGACGAATTGAGGAGGAAAGCGGGTGGTCTGAAAGGGGCGTGTGCACTAGGGAAGCGTGTCTGGTGTATCCTGCTGCCACTAGCGTGCTGGTTGAAGTTTGAAAGGCTCGGGTTGAGAAGATGAACCAGGTGATTTGTGATAGAGCGGAGGGATGATGGGCTTGATCGGTGTGCTCAGCGCACAAATTGATAGCGAAACTTGCTGAGGACTGGCCCATGCGTAGAGTATGCTCTTGGCACTCGTGTCAACCAGTTGAAACATCATTTGGACGGGGAAGCAGACATTCGATACGATTGGCACGAGCGGAAGAGAAAGAAGGGGGATTTTCAAACGGGAGATGAGGCGTGCTCCTCCCCGTTGGGGCCAAACACGGAAAGACCGAAGCGCATATTATGGGAGAGAAGGGTCAATCCAGGTTCGGTCAACCGAGCCGCCTCTGCTGGCGGGAAGGTACACTCTCGCGGATCAGCCAATCAGGCTGTTAGCTGTTGACGGGAAGGTACACTGTCGCGGATCAGCCAATCGGGCTGTTAGCTGTTGAAGGGAAGGTACACTCTCGCGGATCGGCCAATCGGGCTGTAAGCTGCTGGAGGAAAGGTACGCTCTCGCGGATAGGCCAATCGGACTGTTGCTGCTGGTGGGAGCGGTGACGATTACAACTCCCGCAGCGAGAGCGTGAGTGGGAACGAAGGGATTTTTGAATGAGAGAGAGAGAGAGGGAGAGAACTCAGATAAAAGAAATGTGATGCGAATAGACGAGGAGAAAGCGGGAAGGGGAGATGATCAATGCTTGTGCGTGCGAGATAAAAATTAGGCGATAGACTAGAGAAATGAGTGTGATGAACCGGGCGCGCGCTAAGAAAGAAGGAGGGAAGGAGTGAGATCAGCTTGTAACCCCGAGCCGTTGCATGCATTGCTCGCTGGACAAGCACTGACGAGGCGCGTTCACGACAAGCAGTCTGATCCCCGAACTCTCTATCAAGTGTTCTCGCGAATTGATGAGGTGGGCCACTTCTGTTTTACTCATCAGCCGATTGGGCTTTACAGAAATAGTCGGAACCAGTAGCTTTGCCTTCGCTGTTCACTGGACTGAGTGTCTCAGTCGCCAAGGGAACTAGCCATGTTCACTTCTTCTGGAAGCCCGCCAATTGAGTTTTCTAACTGATCGTGCAATCAAGTCCTTTCACCGCGGGTTGAACCACTCTGAACTGGCAGTCTCGGTTAAACAAGTTATCAAGCAGGTCCGACAAGGCTTCCCCCGATGAGCGTGATTATCTATTGCTGAGCGACCTATCGAAAATCAATCAGGTAATTGCCTAACTCTGTCGGTCAGCTAATCAAGCTCCCGGGGCTAAAAGTCAGAGGCTTTGCACGTGCGGATCGAGGAATCCTAGAGCTGGGAACAGTCCCCTACGCTGAGCAGGCGAGTGTCTCCACTACTCACTGGAGGGGCCAACCCTTGTGAGACATTCGCCGCTGACGTGCCCTTTTCCCCTTCGAACCTGTTGCTCCTTCTTGGCGGAATCAGAGCTAAAGGTGATTTACTCTGTCTCAATTGTGAACCGGGCGCTCGCCGCCTGAGCACCGCCACCGCGCAGCTCGCCAGTTGAGAAGAGGGAGAGGGCCACTGTGTATGGCCCCGCATTTCCCTTGAATTCCAAACAATTACCTGGGTGGCGGGGGAGTCAAATAGGGTTGAGTGCGGACGGAGAGGAGAATCTGAAGAAACAGTCCGCGACTGTAAAGCAGGCTTCGCTCAGTCTTTTCTGCTGCTCTGCTG